GAAGACAAATATGAGTGTACACCTAAAAAATGATGTATCAGCCGATGATTTCGCAAAACATGCAATTGCTGGAAATAGGGGATGGGAAACTAGCTATCGACGAATCAACACAATGCATCACACTGCCGACAAATTTCTGTAAAATAACAACAACGAGTATCGACCATTGAGTTAATAATTGACAACGTTTTCCCAAATCTACGAAAATTACGGAAACCGTCAGTGATGGCTCAGTGCACGGGCTATATTGGCAGTAAAAAACTATGACGTACGTTGTACACTATCAAAATCMCTATTCTAAACGAAATTCCAGGCGATATGACATCGTATCAGTCCATCGCACCGTAATGAATCAAGACGAAGTTGTCAAACATCCAAATTAATTCTTAAATTCATTTGATTTTCTAGATATTATGCCATCGCATTTTCTAAGTTTCTAACATTGAAATTTGGCGTACCCATCATTTTTCTACGAAAAATCAATTTACCGCGACTCTGCAACAGTACCAGGCTTTCAGTGAAAAAGTTAATGAACAACATTATCGAAGCTAYAATTTTAAAYGGAAAGTTAGGAAACAGAAAGGCGAAGATGTACTGTTAGTTGTTACTACGCATCCCAATGGTTCCAACAGATATGCCTTTCGAATTCAAACTTTGCAGTTTCCGGTGCGTGCAACTTATCTTTGCAATGATGATCAACAATAAGCACAAGGACAATCGCTACATAAGTGTGTGAACTACATATGAAAAATCCACGATTTTCACAGGTATGCTCCCGCGTCGTAAACCCTTCTGATTCATTTGTGTATGGACCAGAAGGAAGAACAAAAATCATTGTGTATCCAAACGCACTTCAATAAATATCATTCAATTGAATACAGTGAAACCTCTAAATACCGGACACTCTTGGTCTCTTAGACGTCGTCCCCGCTATTTGGAGGTGTCCGATATTTAGAGAGGAAATACAGTGAGTACACATTTCACCGTTCCCAAAATTCCGTCCGTTATTTGGAGGTGTCCGCTATTGAGAGGTGTCCGTTATTTGGAGGTGTCCGCTATTGAGAGGTGTCCGTCCGTTAAAGGAGGTTTCACTGTACAAGGCATTTTATTTTAGACTTTTTTCGATAAACCGAATAAAATTTATATTATGATAAACTAAATTGAATATTATAGTAAGATTATTACCTAGTATATTTTAACCGTTACCTATCTATAATCTATATGTATAAAAAATATACTGCTAGCATAATCACAGCCCACAGGTAATGAAATTAACACACAGTTTGAGACATATAAGAGGTAGCATTTTTAACGGGCTACTACGAAGTGAACGGGTTCAGCTAATAAATAATATTTGATATTTCTGATTATTACTATACATGTCAGTTATTTTACAAAATAGTATACATTTTGAGTCTGTAGTTTTTAGTAAAAAAAAATTAATTTAAGAGACAATAGAATTTTATTAAGTATTTGAAATATTATGGAAAAATTGAAATCATTAAGAAGCGACTTCTATAAAAAAAATAATTATGATTAACAGATAACTTAAGAATAACTTTTAAGCTCATTAATGCCAAACCCAAGTTTTACTGATACTTAGCTTGTTTTTAACATAAGCTGTTAAAAAATAAATTATACCAATGTATGCTACCTATTAAAGTTTTGTTAGTGCATATGTTCCTGTATGTGTGGAAAAATTGCAGTTATTTTTAAATAATAATAATACATACCTATTGAATTATTGATTAAAATACAATGTTTAGTAAATTGTAAGTGGCGTTTACTTTAATATTTTTGTACACCAAAATCCCTTCATGATCCTCTCCTTGTTAAAATTTCAAATTATTTTTATTACAATGTATAATAGATACTGTATTACTGCTAAAAAGTTGAAATTAAAAATTGCATGGTGTTATTTTAAAAGTTTTATTCATTCAAAATCTTAGCGCAATATTTAAGAAATCAAGAAGTTGATTTTATATTTGGTAGGTATATAGTGCACAATTTACTTTTCAAATCTTTTAACTTTTGAAAAATAAGTTTAATTGGTTTTTTATTTTTTTGTAATACCATGATTAAATCGTGTAAGGTTAGCTACCTTATATTTACCCATTTAATTTTGTTTATGCATATAAATTTATCAATATAAATAATTTTAATTTTTTTTAAAACATGAATAAATTTATTAATACTATCTGAATATTCTGAATACACCTAATAGGCAATAGATAAATATCTCTAATACGTTTAAGAAATTGAATAAAAAAATAAAAAAAAATATAAAAGCTACTTGGCTAATTGCACTAAATGTGCAAATATTTGCTAACTTGTTGCCTATATTGTAATTTATTTTTTTGTAAAATTTGAAATTGAAAGTTACAGAATATTTTTAGTCCACATAAAAACACTAGATTTTTAGATTAAAAACATACTAATACTTAATTTAAATATCCAGTTATATGATAAATTTAAGTTTGGTTATTTATAACCCTGTAACTGTATAAGGTTTAAGTATAATTATTATAAAAATKATTCATGCAATCTACAATAGGAAAAATTAAACTCATTAACTTAAAACAAAGAAAAAACAAAACAAAATTTTCAAAATCAAATTTAGTGTATTAAATCAAAGACAAAGTAAACTAAATAAAAATCAGCTTGTGTTTAACATGAACAGCAGTCGATAAATCCTTAAAACTATCACATTACTTATCTACTGAAGCAAATAAGATTTATATTTTTATAATATTTAAAAATCCCTAAGTCATTTTATTTATTTAGAATGAAATAACATTAGTTTAATGTTGTCAATGACCAATCACTTTTAAAACAATAGATTTTAATACAATATAAAATGGGATGTGGTCAAAAATAAAATCAATTAAAACAAAATCTCACTACAGATTACCATATTAACAGTGAAAATTAAAATTAAACAATTCCATCTATTCAATGAAAATACTAAGATATGAATAAATAGAATTAATATAAAATAAAGCTACAAATGGAAATTCTGTGTAATAGCAAATTAAATTAAATAATTAAGTGTTAAAATCGTTCTATTACAAATTAATAACATTAAGATTTATTTTAGTTTAAATTTAAGTAGTTCGTCATTTTGTCGAACTTAAGTTTTTTACAAATTCAATTAATAAAATAACAACACATATTGGAAAGACGAGGGATTTTTCTTTAAATAATTATAATATATATTATAAATACATTAAGTCTTTTTCATGAACAATACATTATTTTCTTAAAATGTTGCATTTTAAAATTATATTTATACAATTAGTTACTTAATTTTAACTTTTCAATAAACATTTTCATGTATTCAATTTCTTTGGTAATTTTCAAAAACAAAATAGTATAATATATAAATAAATAATAAACAAAAACAATTATCTATTATAATAGTACACTATTGTAATCTTTACAAACAGATTTACAAATTAAACAAAACAATGTTTGGTTAATAATAAAGTTGTACGCCTTATATTACTAAACCTATATACATAATTGAAAATAACTCTTCGTTTATTGTTCTCAAAAAAAGAAAAATATATATACTTATTAAATAACATATTTGACTGAATTTCTATTTGAAAAGTAAATATTTATTTGTCTTAAATATAACAAATATTTGTACATGGTTATGATAACAATTTAAGTACATTATCTGGGAAGCAAATAMATTTTTACAAATACTGATTTAATAAAATATACATTTCATCATATCTGTTAAATTTTGAAGCAAATTTAAATGTCTATAACCTCACTGAAAATATTTAAGTTATAATTATTTTAATAAGATAACAAATTAATAAATTCACCAGAAAATGTGTAATAAAACAAAATACGATCATATTTTACTTATTTAATCATATATTTGAATCATAATAAATCAAAATGCACTCAAAACCAGAAAAAATTAATACAAACAATACAATTTTTAATATATATAATTTAATAATTTAGTTAAAATTTAAAATAATGAATAAAAACTAAATGTTTTGTAAGCTGACTGAAAATAAATTAAAACCAGATATTACTAGAAGTTTTCTGTTAAAAAGTATGAATAATACATAGTACATTACAATCAAATTAGAAAAAAATTATTAACATATAAGCAAAGGGTACAAGTAAGAAAATATTGAAATTTAATTTTAAAAAGCTTTATTAATCATAAAATATTGGTTTAAATTTTTCATGATAAATAAAATATGTATACACTTCTTAAATGAATAATACAATTTTTTTTACAGTTAATTATTATTGATGAGTATTGCATAATATATGTAGCTCAAAGGTATCAGATTCCTATTGGAAATTAAGATTAATATATAGATTCAATTTTCCTTATTCCCTTTTACTTACTTACATGGAAAAATATTGGAAAAAAAATTTAATTATCTCTTTATGTTTTATGATAAAAATTGTAATCATAGAATTAAAGATGAAATTAAAATATATCATGAATAATTTAATAATAATTAATAATGGTATAGTTACAATAATTTTTATACTTTTAATACACAAGTGAACAAGATAAATATAAGACTTGTGTTTAAAAAATATATCAGATATAATACTAAATTATTTATGTATATGTACAATGCTACTCATTATAAATTATTGTATGATAATAAAATATTTATTTTATCATGCATAAGAATGATTATTTTCTAATATTTGATTAAGTATTCAATTAACGGTATAAGTAGTTGAACTAAATAAGATAAACTAAAATCGAAATTCAAATTAACAGAAAAAATATATATTATTATACTAATAAGTACTTTTTCAACACTTAAAAAAAAAAAACAAATATAATTGGGTTAAAAAAAATTTAAAAATTTGTATAATTTTTAGTAACAAGTAAAACCAAATTGAGTGTAAATAATGGCAATACTCAATGACATTGTACAATTTTGATTTTTTTTTTATGTATATATATATACACATAAATAAATATTGATATTATAAATTAACAAGTACATATTTTCTGATTTTTGAACTAGATAATCCTCCAGCATTATTAATGGTAACTTAAGTAGCATTTAATAAATAACATATTTGTATATTTAAACTCTGAAATTAATTAATTAGTTTTCCTAGAAACTCTCCTRAGGGATGCTCGTGTTGATGTTAACTTACAAGATGGAATATCTAGCTGTGGAGATTTACTTGATACTTGCTGATTATTCTTGACATTGTTTTTAAGGCGACTCGATATTCTTCTATTATTGCATTCTTTTTTTTCAACTATTGGCTTTTGTTCAGGTGTCTGGGTTTTTATGTTGTTCAGTTTAGGGAGTTCAGATTTTTCTTCATTTTCTTCTGACGTGCGACCTCTATACATTCGTTTTATTACCTGAGATTCGATAAATCCATCTTCTTCAACATTTTTGCGTTTACTTTTGCGAAAGTTATAATGTGGTGTGCCACTGCTAATTGTTGAAGTACTATCTTCCGACATGCATGTTTCTGAATCCATGGCAGTAGTATTTGATGGTGATTCTGGACATGAATCAATTTGTTCAATTGAATCTAAAACAGTCTTGATACCATTTATAAATGGTTTTGTCTCACTATCATTAGAGTCTTGATTCATTTCATTATACAAAGCTTGTTTTAAAAATGATACTTTTGTTTTGTTTTTCTTACAAACAACAGTTGTCTGTTCCCCAGCAGTTGGAATAACTGTAGTGGTAGTTGTATGAGATAAAACCGATTTACGTCTAGCTTGTAAAGGACTAGTATCATTTGACTTTGATGTAGATGCTTGTAATAGACAGAGGGTAGGACTTAGAGATTTGTCTAAATCATTTAATATGGCCACATCAGGAAAAAGTTCATTAGTGCTTGGCTTATCAACACCAAGACCATCAATATCTTCATATAAATCATATTCTTTAGGTGTTTCAACATTATTGTCAAATATTTTACATTGCTCATATACAAATACTTTCAAATCTTTAAATGTTTTAATTTTGGTACCTTGAAATGATTCCTGTAATCGTTTTAAATTTTCACCTTCCAACATTTTTTCAGTTCCTGGTAGCATAATTTTAGATAAACAATTAATCCAATTCTTCGCCGATTTGTCATTTTTTAAACAGAGAGTCAATGATCCAATTTTTGTATGAGTACTGTTAGCAGACTGATTATCAAGCATATTATATACAGTATTACTTAATGTACTTTCGTTTTCATTTTCTGATTCAAGCTCTATCTTAACAACTGTTGGTGATAATTTGTCTTTTTGTTTATCTGAGAACAAAAAAATACAGAACTGAGTTCATCAAAAACAATTTTAACTTATAATATTATGATTGGTTACAAAAAAGTATCGATTTAATCATAATATGAAGGCAACAGATTGGTTTAATAGTATTTTCAATCAAACAACAAATCAATTAAATTGTGTTTAATGTTGTCAATAAAAAAAAAATATATATATATATAATAAGAATGTTAGGTAGGTATTGGTATACATTTTTGTCTACACTAACTGCAATTAATATAATAATGAATAAGCCAAATAAATCATTTTATATTTTGTTCAATAATCTTTGCAATTTTTTAATAAGAAATTAAACAAAATAGGTACGCATCGAATATATAGATCATAAAAATAATTTTGGATACTGATTATACCGAAAAATTGTATTGATTTTACATTGATGTAATTTTTTTCCATCGACCACTCTAAAGGGCTTTGTTTTTGGGAGAGAGGGGATGTTAAAATGTTTTTTATCGTTTTTGCAATGCTAGAATAAAAATTTATGAGCTCTTCATAAAGTATTTACTACACATCTACCTTTTTTATGACTATAATTATGTTAACTATGATACCTATACATTTACCATGACAATGTATTAGTATAATGATTGTGAACCATAAATTAATGTATCCTTTATACAAGTATATTAATATAATTACATCAATATATGTTGTTAACACAAATTTTTATTTTTGTTGAATAYTATTAAAATTTACTAACAAGAATACAAACTACGTACCATATTAACATTTAATTTTTATCAAACATAATATTTAAAAAAAATGCAGGGGGGGAAAGTGAGCCATGTGCCCTAAGTGTTACCAGGCTACAGCACTTTTAGTTGGTGCATATAATATATCAAAATTAAAAATTCTTTTAGTTTCAAAAAAGTTGGAAAAAAACAAAAAAAAATGTTAGAAGAAATGGTAATTTATACACAAATCCAATTTTTGACAAGTTTCAACTTAATTTTATGATTCACTCAAAAACTTACTAATAAAGTAATAACTGAAGATCCTTTACATTTTCAACAGTTTTAATATGCCCATTTTCCATGTACAATAACATCTTCAAAATAGTTTGACTTTTTTTGAGTTATTTATGGTCATGAGAAATAATGTTTAACATTTTTTCAATTATTAATAAATAATTTTTCATTTGATTAAAAAACTTGAAAATACAACACAAGAATCCACATAAGTGTAAATCAAAAAAGAAGGTTAGAGAAAGAAGAAAATGAGCACAGATTCACAATATTTTTTTAGTCTGAAATTTAAATTTCGACAAAATTTATAAAAAACACCAATTTTGCAAAATTATTTTTCAATTAAAAATTCAAAATGTCTTTACTTGACAAACATTTGAAACTGGATAGGATGCTACACTCTGATGTGTTGTCTCCAACTTACAAATTGAAATCATGGTAAAAACTGTTTTGCGTAAGAAATAATCAAGGCTACATTCATAAATAAGAAACAAAACGTTCACAACATAAAAAGGAGAAATTTGGCTGAGAAATATCGTTTTCCTTTTTTTAATATCAAAAGTATAAAAAGTTATTCAAGTTTGAAAAATATTAAAATAATGGATTTTGTAACAATAAGAGATTGTATAATTTGGAGTCACTCCTGCCAGAGTGGTTCTATCCCACCCAACAGTTTTTAATATGTTATACATTTGTTAGGCAGAAACCACACATGCAGGTAATGGGTATAGCATCCTATAAATAAAAGATTCTTAATAAGTTTATCTACCTTAAGAGSACGCCACACCCGCATGTGTTGTCTTCGTCTTTCAAGTGCGTAACATGGCAAATTTTATGCCCAGCAGTTCCAATTTAGCTCCGTTAGTTAACAACTTAGAGTAAATTGACCTCTTACAAGAATTAAAGGTAACATTATCATCTAGGTTTTCACAGAGGCTTTTTATTATATTTYAATTTTRAAGCAACTTATGAGTATTTTTAAAACTGTGAATTGCTTGTATATCTTAAAATACTCATAACTCGCTTCAAAATTGAAATATAATAAAAAGCCTCAGTGAAAACCTAGATAATAAAGTTACCTTTAATTCTTATAAAAGGTCAATTTACTCTAAGTTGTTAACTAACGGAGCTAAATTGGAACAGCTGGGCATAAAATTTGCCATGTTACGCACTTGAAAGACGAAGACAACACATGCGGKTGTGGTGTCCTCTTAAATTAAAAAAAAAGTTTACCGTAAAGTAATTTTTATTTAATTTTCTTTTTAAACAATTAAATTTGTTTATTCATTCAAGTATGCAAGCCTGAAGCATCAAGTCTCCATTTAAAATCGTTTTTGTAAACAATAATTTATCATTGAATTCATATTTAACACATCCATTACAATGATATTATACTCAACAATTACTGTACCTCAGAGCACTATCCACCTGTCCACCTTATTCCTATCTATATTAGTTTGTTAGTAAAAGAAGATATTTAAACTTGAATAATATTATTCGTTCAGTTCCAGTATAAAGTTAAAATTACTAAAAGGTAATTAATATGATTCACACAGTACTGAAATCACTTAGTTTAAGAATATAAAGTACAGAACTTAAGCCACATTAAAAATAAAAATAGAAAATTTATACTAATCTATAATTATTTTTTTTAACTGACTAAAAAATTCACGATTTTAGGAAACAATAATAAACAATTTTACTTACAAGTTTGAGTGATGGTTGAAGGTATTTCAGCAGTTGAGRCAGCAGCAACATTGTCTATCACTATATTTGATTTGTCATCTTTTTTTATAGGACTTGCAAGTTCTAAAATATTAGGTCTTTTCCCAATAGTAATATCACATGTGTCGTTTTCTTGCTTAACTATCGGACCATCCTCACACTTCACAATATGCCCATCATTTCCATTATTAGATACTTTATTATCGCTCAAACAATCAACCAATGTTTGTTTAACATTTGTATTCTCAAATTTATTTTCATTTTCATTYGATGTGTTTTGTTGGCTACTTTTATTATTAATATTGGTCAAGTTTTCATTAGTTTCTTCTTCTTCTTCATGAAGGTCAAATGATGGAAACTCCATATCTTCATAAGAAAGGCCACTGCTTTCTAAAGATTCAGGTGGAATAAATGGTGGCTCTTTTTTAAGAGCTGTACTTAATTTTTCTTGTTTATTAACTAATTGATCCATATTAGAGTTATTAATTTGTTCTTGGTTCATGTTAGTATTTTGTTCATTATCACAATAATCTTTATGAATACTTTCTGAAATATTATTTTGAGCTTCAGATAATAATTCATTATTTTCATTTGGTTCTAATTTAGGTGTACATGGAAGAGTATGTATGACACTAAATGTGCTTTGAGATGCTTGATTTTTTTTCATTACTGGAAATGACAATTGTTTTTGATTATTATCAAGTACTTGAGCTTTTTCCATTGATTCCAAAAGAATATCAAGTTTATTTGTTTTATGATCAAAGTTTTGTAAAGTATTATGCAAAATTTCACTTCCTAAACTTGTATTGGCAATTTGTAAATTATCAGCAGATAAAGCAGATAAAATAGTTGATTCATTAATATTCTGTCCTAATATATTAGAAGCCATTTTAACATCGTTTGAGCAAGAATCTTTAGCAGTAATTTGATGAAAAACTACAGGCCCAGGTCCAGTTACAGGACAGTGGAGCCTGTACATCTTTTGATTACTCCCCGATGCAACAAGAAGTCTAACATTTGCTGCATTGCCATCAGGTATAGATAAAAAAGATCCGGATGTACCACTTACAACAATTTGGGTGGATTGAGAAACTTTAGATTTCATTTCAGCTTCAATATTGATTTTTTTAATAACATCATTAACATTAATTAATGAATTTTCAATTAACGGTGTTTCTGAAACCACCGTAGATTGTTCATCTGAATTTCTGGATGGAGAGTTGATAATATGTGAAAAATGACTTACAGCATTAGAACTATCCTCACTGTCAATAGCTTGCATGTCAGATGTGGGGCTCATTTCCATACCAGATGATGAGCAAGATGTTTGTTGAGAACATGTTTTTAAATTTAATTGATTTGTCTTTTTACGTTTGGCATTCAGGCTTGGATTTGTAGGTGGGTTAGTTCTACGTCTTGGAGCTGGCTTATTTTTCAACTCTGGTGAATTACGAAGTTGTTCAGCATATTTATCGAGTATTGCATAAATTCGTTGAGTAGTTTGTTCATCTTCTTGTAATTTAGGCAAAGGTTTTTGCAAAACTGGAACTTTTACAGCTGAAGTAGATGGAGAACTTGCTGGTGTCTTAATAACAGGTTTTACCTTATTTGCAATCTGCTGCTTAGCACACTGTGAATCAACTAGATTAACAGACACATTGTTATTAGGTGATGTTAATGGGGGAGTAGGAGTAACACTACGAACTGAAATTATAGCTGGTTGTATTGTTACGAGTTCTTTATCATCACTAGTCAAATCATTTACATTTGACAATGTTTGGTTCAAAAATGAAAATGAACAACGATCTCGTTCACTATTTACATTTGATTTTTTATTCAAGGGAAATAATGTTTGGTTGCTATCAGTATTAAGCAAATCAACATTTTCTGTAGGAGAAGGAATTTGTATTATTTCATGATTTATTTGTGGTAACATGCTGGCTGTGCTCATTTCATTCATCAATGAAGTTTTTCTTACTTCTTCTAATACTGATTCAAACTCTCTCACTTGTTCCATCATCAAAGTGCTAACATTGGTTTCTGGAAGATTTGGTTTAATAGTATTTATCGATATTTTATTATTTGAAGACTCTACAGAAGTTTTGACAATATTTGGCACATTTGCAGGTAAAATCCTTTCTATTGAAGATGTTTGTACTTCTGTACTTTGTTTACCCTGACGAAAACTATTTTGTTGCCAAGTAGGATGTTTTCGTAACACTGTTTGAATTATTGATGGTGACATCTTAAGTTGTCTTTGGAGTTGTGTTACACCTTGTAAAGGTTTATCTATATTACAATTAGTAGATTTTGAGTCATTTAATATAGGAATTGAATATATTAAATTAGAACTAGATGATGCTATTGATGAATTTATACAACTGGTGGTAAATGTACTCGGAACTTTTGAAATAGGCATATTATTGAGTCCTTTTTTAATTTCAATGTTGCTGGTAAGAACTTGATGCGTAGACGAGGCTGAAACTTGTGGAATATTGTTCGCAGAAGTAACGGCTTTACATGTCATTATAACATTGTTCTTATTGTTTCCAATCCCCGTAACATTACTAGACTTTGACATATTAACAGCATGCTGTAGCTTATTTTCTACTGCTTTAGGTGGTATACGATTCATATTAGAGCTAATAGTGTCATCATCATGATTAGTCTGTACACCTTTTGACGACGAATACACTCTTGGCGTTGATATATTGGTCCGATTAATAATTGGCCCAAGATTTGAAGAGAGATTACTTGCTAAACTAGTTGAACACAAAGATGAAGTGTCATTAATAACAGCTGAATTTGGAAATTTTGTTTTACCAAAAACTTGTTGAAATCTTGGTAACATCGAACCAGTAATTGTGATATTTGGAGATGCATTTGGGGAAAGTTTTGGCTTATCTAAACATTCTTTAGACTGTCGATTTTGCATTTTCACATTAGTTGAAAGATTATTTCTAGGAGAGATGACTGATTTGGTAGGCTCTATATGACTAACAATGTCGTCTTGAACTGCATACAATGTTCCTTTCTCAAATACGAACATGTCAGACATGTTAGCTTGTTTAAGAGCTCTAGTTTTACTTTCGTAAGTTCTCATATTACATCGTCCTTTAGTTGATGATTTAGAACTTGAATCATTTTCTTGGCTGACATGTGAAATTCCTTCTGAAGAACTTTGAAAAACAGCAAGATTTGGTGCACTATTTTTATCTATACTTTGAATAAGACGTTGCGATTCTGTATTACTCGTAACAAATTGAATTGCTTCTGATGTAGCAGTAAATGTTTGGCTCATTAATTTTAAATTGTCAATCTTTTTTTGTTCATCAGATTTGTTTGTTTGAGAGATATGGCTCAAGTCATTCAGCTGTATTCTTTGACTTTGTGGGGATGTGTACATTGAGTTTTGCACATTGGACTTAATAACCTGACTTTGTGTTGAAACTATCATCAAGGATATAACTGAAGCATTAGGATGAGAAACTTCATTTGGTAAACTAACACAAGTTTGAGTCTGTATACTTGAAACTGGATTTATCTTAGGATTGTTTGATTTTAAATTATCAAATGAATTTTCCTTTATAAATGAAGTATTAACAATTGAGGAGTTACTAGTTCTACTGTTTGCTGAATTCATTATTTGATCATTTAATAAAGACATATTAGTCGAATTGTCTGTTATGTTGGTTCCTACTTGTGTTCCTTGATCATTCAGAGACATAATACTTTGAATACTATCAGATTGTAGGTTGTTGAAATTGACTTGCAAGCCTACTGATGTTTGAATTGGAGAATTTTTTTGAACTTTTGAGTCAAAGTTTGATTTGATTGTGTTCATTGCTAGTGGAATATTTGTAGAACGATTACTGTTAGTTGATATAGAAGAAATTGATGCTGGTAATGATAAATCAATAAACCGGTCTCGTGTCTTAACACAATAAGAAGATGGCTTTTTGGTAGTATAAGTCATTTGTCCAGTAGTTTGAGTAACATGACTAGGATTTATAACGTCAGATGTTCGAACTATCACATTCGAGGATAAATGTACAGCACTTTCAATAGTAGATTGTAGTCGCTCTCCAGAATTTTGCAGTTGATGATCCAAGTTAATTTGATTTTGATCTAACAACACTTCCTGTGTCCCAATTGGTTTACTTTGATCTTGCTGAACAGTATTGTGACTATTTGCAATTGAATCAGTGGTAACCCTTTGATTGCTTACAGATACACTTCCAGTGAAACTACATTCTCCTTGATGAATTCCAACATTTTGAACAGAGTTCATACTATTATTTAATGAATTAGATTGATACACCGAAACAAAATTATCCAACGAATTAGAATTAGTTTGGTTTTCGCTATTTTTTTTTTCTGTTTCGTTATTAGAATGATGATTTGAAACTCTTTCAGTTTGCGTTTGTGATACATTTGTAAGAGTACTTGAAGTTGTTTGTATTTGTACTACATTAACAATACGATCTGTATTTGCTGGCATTATGAAATCTAATGAACTTAGTTGAGGTATTCGTTCTGATAGCATATGTAAATGTTCATTACTGGAATGTGGAAGTTCAAAATTAGTAGAGTAGCTTTTGAGTTTGTCACCTTTACTCAGTTTTTCTACTGGGTTGATTTTGTTGTTTTCAAGAGCCTCCTTAATCAATAAATTGTTTTTAATAGATTTTCCTTTTTTTCTGAGAGACCATGAATAGTCAAAGTCTTTATGTTGATTTTTGTTGATAATTCTCTTTTCTCGTGTTTTTTTAATCTGAGGTTTAAATTGTTTGTGTAATCCATCATTTTTAACAGTTTCTTCTAAAACAGAATCAACAGAATTATCTTCAATTTCATCGTTAGTATTTGTATYCTTGTATTGAGCTTCATCATTTAATATGGAACCAACAGTTGAGTCATCCGTTTCGTCAATACTTTTATTGTATCTTAAGCTTCGTCGCAAACCAACTCTAGGTATTGTTTGAGTAGTAATTGGCTTTGGCTTATTTTTAGGACTGACCTTGCGTCGTTTTTGAGAACCAGTCTTTCGTTTACGCGAACCAACTTTTCGTTTTCGAGAACGACTTTTGGATGGTTTATTCCTATAACTAACAATTTCTCCTGATGAAGCAATTGATGCTATGGACTCATTATCGCTATAATTATTATCACTGCTAAAATAACCTTTATCATTTGTTAATCGTCTCATATTTATTTCTGTCCACTTATTGTATTCTTCAATATCAATGTCAAGATATGTTAAATCAGATCGCTTTAGTGTATTTCGCTTTAACACTAAATCTAAATTTTCTAAATATTGTTGACATAAAATTTTCATCCTTGGCCATTCTAGATTCCAATTGAATGTTCCATAACGAGGGTACTTGATAATTGAAATGAGGTCTTCTTGCATGATAGGTGTTAATGGATCATTCAATGAACTGAGGTCAGAATGAATCTTAAAATAATTTCTWACAGAAGCATCAAGAACAGATTTTGAGTTTTTATCAGACTTATGTGCTTTAGATTTACGTTTACGAACTGATTTAAGATTCGATGTAGATCCTTTTTTGGATTTGTCACAGGAAATATCAGGAACATTAGTTGGGATAAGCTTACCACTTTTAACCGCCAATCTTTCTACTCTCATCATAAGATCACTGGAAGGCATTAAAGAATATGCCGTTAATACACATTCTCGACATATGCTTAAAACATCTTCAAGTAGATTAGCCAATTTCAAATACCCTTGGACTAACTTTTTTAATGATTCAAATGATCCATCTCCATCACTCATTTGTTTGCATTTTTCTTTCTCATTTATATTAGTTGATAACGCTCTGATATATATTTCTATATACACTGTCCGAGGCAATTTAGCACCAAACTATAAAAAGAAAATGTACTACTGTTAAAAACATAAATAAATGTTATAAATTYAAGTAGATGTAGGTTTTAAAGTAAATTATATACAACAATGGTATTAATTTAAAATGTGATTCATACTTAAAGGACATCATATTTCTAGTTACATATAATTATAATCAAAGTAAAGAAATAACTTATTAAATTATTTCAAAAAAATTTAATTTAATTTAAAATGTAAACTATCAAATCAGACTTTACAGTAAAATTGATACGATACATAATTATTTTTAAATTATCTGACATATTACTAGTATGTTTTAATACATTTTATACCTACTTCACATGAAGTGATAAATGTTAAGGCATTTTATGTTACACGTCATTTTAATGAAAAAGAATAATCTATTATTAAGTTTTACTATCATACAAGATTTAATTATTGCCGAGCTAAATTACATAAAAAAAAATAACTTGTTTAAAATAATTTTAGGGGTGGCCAGGGATGCCCAACTTGCGGCTCACGTCTTATTAAAAAAAAAAAACTAATATTTACTTTTAACAATAAAATACGACAAAATTATAAGTTATAAAATGTATTTATAAACAAATTGGCATATTATTGTATTTATCTATGTGACTCGTGGTTCCATAGTCAGTATTTTATTAAATATTTACCCATAAAATAATAATTAAAATAAATGTGTTAATGTTATTAAGAATATTAATATAAGTGTCCTTCAAGTCAAAATCACATTGAAAATTTGGTGACTAAAATAAAAAATAAATTAATACAGTAATAGACTTAAGTTTTTTACAAGTTAAAAAAATAATGTATTGGTTTTTAATATTTGTACTTACTTCACTATAAATAACATCGCATATCAAATATAAATGACTAGCTGATGGTGCAACTTTGACAAATGTACGAATTTTTTGTTTTATATTGGAGTAACTCATATCAGATCGTAAATCGGATTCCATCAATGTGATCACTATAAGACTCCACTTCCTTATAAGGTCAGCAATATTATCAAAAATATTAGAATTTTTTAATGAATTCACAACCATAATACAAGCAGCCATCTCACAAACCAATACAATGTGTTGACAAATTCTTGGTCTGATATCTTTTTGCAAATTTTTAAGTGACTGAATTTTTTTACAATAATTTTCCATTAAGATTTTACCATCATTTTCAGGAGAATATTTCATTAACTAAAATAAAAATTTGAATTTAACTTTTAAGTAAGTGCAACAAGTTAACTATAAATAAAAATATATCAAAAGACCTACATGACCAATAAGTTCCTTTCTATTATTTGTTCTATCAAGGCATGCATAATAAATATCTCTGATAAATTCATAATCATGTTCTTCGAAATGAGATTTGGAATTCAATTTTGAGTTTTGCAAATCCATTGCCAATGATGATAGTTTGAGTGCTTTATCTTCACACCTCCCTTCACAAAGCATTCTCAAACGCAGAACAAACATATAACTCTTTTCATACTTGATAAATTTTAAAACTAAAATAAATAAATATATTTTTAAAAATTAAATATTTAGTTGGTTTTTTTCTTACTGAACTATTTTAACAAATTTACCTTCTTTTTGAGATGGATTTCCATAAAGTAATTTTGGCAAATTACGATAACCCCAAGGATTTTTCATTAAAGATAACATAAATTGACAATTCTTAATTGCATCTGGTAGTTTTTGATTCAAACGTTTTAAAGCATGCAAAATTTGAGCCAAAATTGAAGATATTCGCTTTTTTATTTTCCATGCAACAGTTTTCCAGCCAGGATCCAGAAATACTATAACAGATACCCTAGAAAATAAAAATAATAGAATTAAACATAACATATATTGGAATTATACAAAGTCTTCAAATTGTATATTTTCTTGAGATTTCCTTATGAGAAAACACATTGAGTATTACACATCATATATCTATCTATATATTATCTGATTTGGATAAGTTGAAATATAGTTGAGATAATTGTAAAACAAAAAATGTACTTATTCAAACTAGTTTGAAACCTAAACTTTGAAGATGCAATTATGTTAATTTAGTTTTTATTAACTAAAAAAATAAGTTGAATGAATTTTTTTCATATTCGGAGTTTTTAATATATTGTGTAAGGTTTTTAGTTTTTACCATATATTTGAGCATTTATTTTTAAGGAGTATAATTAGTATACATATTTAAGTGTTTCTTAGCATATRTTACAACTTATAATAATTTAAAAAATATCAATTTTACATAACACATTATCTACTATATTGGGTGTTAGATTTGACAGACATCAAACAAAAGATATTTTAATACTATACATTATACAACATTAAATAGTGAACAATATTTTTTTATGGATTATAAGTTTTATTTTAATTTATTTATAAAAAAGTCATCAAAGTATAAAAAATACACATAATACTTATGTTAATGTGTCAAAAAAAATAATAGTATTTACACACAAATAAAATTAAGAATAAGTTACCCATGATAAAAATTTAATTTTTCAAACATTATATCTAACACTATAGTCTGTGCCAAACGTATGTGAGGCTGGAGAATCTGTCTACCATTAGGYATTCTACAGCTAGTGCCACAAATTTATTTGGCGTACCATTTCTATTTTTGTGTGTGAACATTGCGCTTAAAATATCAGGTTGATACTGGCCCGGCAGCGGTTAGAAAGGTGTAAGACAATTCTATGAAAAAAATTATGCACACAAGAGCCAAAGAATAAAATATGGTGTTGTGTACTTATTAAAAAGTTCTCAGTAGTAGAATAATAACTATATCAATGAAAGTATAGTAATTTTTTTAATAGTTTACATTTTTTCAATTTGATTGATTTATTAAAAAATGTTGAAAAATAAAAATAAATTTTACATTTTTAAATTAAAAATATAGGAACAGTTTAAATGGCTAAAACACTATTGAGCATAAAATACCTTTTTTTTYGACACAATAGAGCAAATTTGTTGACGTATCAAATTATATAGAAATACAAAATAACATCTACATGATAGACAAAAAAACTGCATGTTGTCATTTTCAATTTAGAACTATATTAGGTATACAAAAATATTTACTAAAATAATTATAACATTTTAAAATATGTAAAGAGTTTAAATTTTCTGATAAAATTATTGTTATATTATTTGGTAAATGGAAATTTCACTAAATTTTTATTATGTCAAATATAGATAAAGATATAGATATATTTTACAATAATATATATTTTAAACATTACATATTATTATTTTTTATTAATTTAATACCAAATTGTATTGTTTCTAGTGACAATAATGATAAAAAATATGGTACTTTTCGGTTATCGTACCCCAACGGTCGGCCGGCCGACTGCAGCGGCGTTCGGAATATACCGAACCGATTCCGCCATCGTACCCCATTATATTAATCTCAATATTGTCAAGTTTCATTGCCATACGAATAAATAAATAATTGCCAAAAATATAATTTACTTTAATAAAATAATATAATATGAAATTATATGAGTACAAAGAAATTATAATAAAATATGAATACCAATAAAGTATAATAAAACATCAATACAAGAAAAAATTATAATAAAGTATTAATACCAAAAAAATTTTTGTAAATAAAAAATATTTTTATGATGAAAGCATTGAGGTAAATATAATGGGGTACGATGGCGGAATCGGTATATCCCGACCGCCACCGCAGTAAGCCGGCCGACCGTTGGGGGTACGATAACCGAAAAGTACCAAAAATATACATCTATAATTTATTAATCAATATCATTGTTGATAAAGCTGGGGCTCAGCACACTGCTCACGGCTGGTTTAAGTTTGGTATTATAATAAGATGTGAAAATAATAATTAAAAAAATATTAGCAATGTGTATGTGACAATGTCACATTAAATATTCTATGCACATCAAGTTGCTAAAAACATATATTATGCTCAATCATGTTTTACTGATTTATACAATATAATCGTAAAAAAGTACCTAGACACAAAATAAAAAGACGCAGTTTATCTTGAATACATATATAGATAAAATAGATAAATATATCCGAGATTTTGTCTAACTCTGTAAAATAATATTTATCAGTTTGTAAAATCTTATTTTAAACAATTTTATAATCAATTCAATATTTGGTAAAATATACTATAGGTACATGCTTAAAAATTGTTATTTATTTTTAACAAAAAAAATTAGAATAAGTGTTAAAAAATGTATAATAATACATGAAAATTCTATTTAACATTTTACAAATACTTAATACCCATTAAATTCAACCTATTTAAATCACAAAAATATTACAACCTCACACTCATGAATAATTTCTATGAAGTCCAGATTTATATTTTTAAGTATTAACGTGAAATAAGATGTTTGTTTGAAATATTAAATTTTTGAAAAAATCATGCTATAGTAGTATGGAAAAATATTAACAATTTACCTTGAAATCATCCAATTTTGTTTTGATATTAATACTTCAAGCACCCAAAAATAACCAAACAGCAAGTCATATTTATTCTGTATTTATTTACTTTTAATGCTACTGAAATTACTCTATTAGTAAGAACTAGTTGGAAAAATATGTATGTGGTTTTACAAAATTAAAATATGAAACCAATCTAAAGAGATCAACAAAATTTTTAGATGATTTCTAAAGCTGTATGAAATCTATCAAAGTTTATGGCCAAAAATATTCTCACATTAAAAAACAAAAAAATTAATTGAAGATATATTTATTTACTTTAACTTAACAGGACAACACACCCGTATGTGCTGTCTCCAACATAAAACATAGCAAAAACTGTTTTGCACAGTAAAACTATATTCCCTCAGTATTTATAATAGAATTATCAGAATTCCACAATGCATAGGTAAGAACTTGATCGGTGTAATAGTGTCGTTATTTTTTTGATAACATAAATATAATTTAAGTTATGAATTTAAGAGGTCGTGATATCTGCATGTGTTTTTTGTACATCTTAAAATACTTACAATTCGCTTAAAAATTAAAATATAGTAAAAAGCGCCCATGAGATCGTCTAAATAACATTCTTCCTTTAAATTTTATAAGAGATCAATTCACCCTAATTTTTAAACTAAAGGAGCTAAACGTGATATGCTGAGCGTACAATTTGTCATGTCACGCACTTGTAAGAAGGACACAACACATGTAAGTATCACGTCTTCTGAAGAAAATACATTTATTTTTTATTTTTTCATTTAATTATTTAAAATTATTGGTTTGTGCCATCAAAAAATTAACAATGCTATAACACAGATTAAGTTCTTACCTATGCATTGTACAATTCTAATAATTTTACTATAAACACAGAGGAAGAAAAGTTATCCCCATCAAGTACAGTTTTTGCTATGTTCTACGTTTGTAAGACAGAGACAATGCGGATGTGGTGTCCACTTAATAATATTAATAATCTGATATGTACATTCAATTTTAGTTTTAATTTTTTTCCATTATTTCTATTGCCTACTTTCTTATCTAAATAATTAATGTTGGACTGTTTTGTAATAAAAATACCTAAATAAAGTATGAATTTATTTATTTTATTTATTTGTTAAAACATTTTTTAAGTACTTTGTTAATAACTAGTATAGAATTAATTGGGGAATTAATACAATAGTTAAATAAAAATAAATCATTTATATGCCCTAAAATATTGGAAATTGTACAATGTTTTAATATTACGAATAGAGACCAAGTTTTTTTTATTAATGCATGACAATGATTTTTAATAGTTAGAAAACCCTATATATTCTAAGAATAATTATATTTGGACATCCTTGCTTTTTGCTGGTCATCTTCAGTGCTCTCTCGGCCCTTACTGAAGCGCTTACACCACTCAAAAACACATGCACGAGATAAAGAATTGTCCCCATAGGCCCCTTTCAACAATTTATAGCACTCAGTCGGAGTTTTATTCACTTTAACGAGAAATTTGAGATCTGTTTTTCGTTACTCATGGCTTTCGGCACGAAAAAAAAAAAGGCACTTTCATTTCAAACCGCTACTGTACAAATATTATAATAGTGACAAAAACATGTTTTGGTACATGCATAGATAAGATATCTAGATACCCAACACACTACTCGTTTTTTTCCGCACTCGTCTAGGGCGTTTTCTAGGCGGCAATCTCGTAATTTAATAGCCACACCTCGTATAGATATGTATATATTATATTATCTTAAAAATAATGAAAAAATGGACCGTAAAATAGGATTACTTCGTGATGTAGTGTTTTTATTAGCCCAATGTAATWCATCATTAAATATGATGACAACAAATTATTGACAACTTTTAATACTGACTAATTTCTTAGGGAAACTGCATAAATATACATATKTAAGCCGCTTTTTGAGCTTACAAATTTAAATCTTAAGTTATTGAATTAAATAATTTTTTTGTAGTACAAATCCATAAATTTAATGTCGTTTAATGTATTATAAAATCTGTTCTGTGTTCTAATGTAATACATAATGTTAGACTATACACTTAGCAAAATTCAATTTTAGATTTTGTAAGTAAGTATATAGGTATATATAGRTATAATGTACATTATACATATAAAAACAAATTTAAATTGTATTTTATTACCTGGTAGCTTGAGAAATGAAAGTATGTAATTCAGGAATGAAGGATTCAGCAAACATTACAGTACTACACTTCTCCCATGCGAATAATAAATGAATTGCCCTTTTTAACAAATCCTTTTTTGTATCTTTATTTACTGACTCAAACATCTAATTAACAAAAAATATTAAATTAATAACAAAATTAACTATATAAACTACACAGATTAAAAGTGAATTTATTTATTATTCATAATCACATTGCCAGTATTAAGAACTTTTTTTATTATTTGTTGATTACAATTTTATTATATTTTATACTAAGAATGTTTAGAAAATGTATTTATAAAGTAATTTAATGTTAGTAAGGAAGCATTCCTTATATAGAAATAATTTAACATAAATAATGGAATACTTGTAAAATAAATATCTTTAAAGACTAGATTAGTTGTTTAATTTTATATAAGATATTTAGAAATTTAGAAATAAAGAAGTACAAATACAATATGAATAACTGTATAAAATTATATCTTATTGTAATAATAAACTAATAGAAAATAAATTATTTTAAAAAGGAATTAGTAGATTTTTAATTATTAATGATGGATTCCAATAAAATAATTTTTAAAACCTTAACAGGTTATTATTATTAAAGTAACTATTATAATAACTATACTATTTCCAATGAATTATGAAATACGACAAGTAAAAATCACATTTACAGATATCCGTAATAACTGAAGAAAAAATTAATAATTATTAAATATTTTTCTAAGTATTTTGATTCATAAAAATCGAATTTAGGGCTAGTAGTTTAAGAGTTATAAGTATTTAAAGTTTAGATTGGCAGAGTGGAGTGGTCAGGGTTACCCCGCAAAATGTTTGTCCACTACTCGCTTGTCTAAACTTAAAATACTTATAACTCATAAACTACTCGTCCAAAATTCGATTTTTACRYATCAWAATACTTAGAAAAATATTCTGCTTTGGAATATGAAATTAAAACTCTAGGTTGTCATTCAAAAAAGTAAAAAACTTAAAAAATTATAAGGATAAAAAATATTTAAAAATATAATTATTTAATAAAAACGTTGGTTTTTTAATAACTTGAAACTATGTAAAAAATATTTTGAAAAAAGTTGATACTTTTTTAAATAAAAGAATCACCCTGTAGATTWATCCTATATAGATAGTAAGGTTTAAAAATAGTATTATATTAACAATTGGGGGTACCTTGTCATATTTACACTATCACGCCAAGGTAGTTGATAATTATCTATAATTAAATTTATCCATAATATTTTACATGTAAAATTGAACTTCTTTTTATTAATTTTGATCATATTCAGTCAATTAGTGACATTTATTACAATATATCAAAAGAACTAGATACTATGATTTGTAAATCATAGCAAAGAACGATAATTTGTAATTCAGTTAAAATCTGAAAATATTTTTTATTGATGACAAATACGGATACACTGCACTACTATTGATGTATTATAACCATATATTATTATATTAATTTTAATAATAAAATCTTAATATGAATTAAGTGAATTGTGACTGCTTTGGAGGCGAGTGCAACAAAATAGGCCTAATTGTATTAGGTATCTAAATTTTAAATTTTTTATTATTGCAATCGTAGTAAAATACTTAAGTGGTGTATTTTGTAGGTAGAAGGTACAGTAGATATGGATCACAAAATATTGCAAGAAACCAATGTTTTTATAATACATGCATAATTAGACTTCTTATAATTGGGCCAAAGCCCAGCTAGTTAAATTTAATTTAATTCAAGTTATTGACCCACCAATAACATAAATACTTAATCCTTAATCTATAAAAGTATTATAATTATCAACCTAGAAATAATATGTTAAAAAATAGTATATTAGTAACAAAATGCATACAAAAGTTTCTTATTACATTTGAAAATAAATACAAATACATTTTTATACTACAAAATAAAATGTATTATTTAACATACAGTTAGGCTAGAGTAACAGTTTTTAATCTAACTGTAACATATGAACATTTAATAATTAAATAAAAATATTAGATTTAAGTTTATTAAGTAATTGAACTTAAGTAACTTTAATACATAATATAAGTTCCACATAATTGAATATGTTTATATACTGACAGCTTAAGAAAACCAATCTAATATAATAAAACAAAATAACACGACCATTGTGTATCAGTGGCAATACAGCATTTAGCAAGGTAATAAAACGATTTCATGAATTATTGCTATTCTCGTTTTTAAAATGTTTAATATTTATGATATTCTGTCAAATGTATAAAGAATAAATGCTGGGTATTTTTGTATGGTATTTTATTTTATATGCTACCTATGAATTTGTTGTTTATGTGGAAATCCACGAACAAGACGAGGTTTGGTCAGCCAAATGGTATATTCTTAACGAGAGCAGAATATAGAAATTTAAGTACAGTATAACGTAGAACACATATAAAAATAGATATATTTATTTGTACTATTTAAATTCTAAAAAAAAATTTACTGAGTGAAACATTTTATAAAAGAAAGATAGTTAGCATGTTAGTAATTTAAATATAATATTATGTTTATGAATATATTTAATTATAAACCATTGATATGGTACTAACCTCAACCGCCGTAAAATACAATGATGGCGGCCTATTTTTTTTTGAATACATAATTTATTTAATTGATTTATGATTTTCAATCCGCAGAATCTGTAAACATAAAACACCATCAATCAATAAATAGTAGTATAAAAATATTAATATAGCGATTGGTTAGGCGTTTTGATACTTTTTAAAATAAAAATCCTTCAATATGAATAACTTTAAGCTAAGTAACTAGGTAGTTTAAAAAATGACAAAGATTTACCAAATTTAGTTCGAAGAAATGTTTAGGAAATTTTACAAAGTGCATATTTAAATTTTTTTACATTTATTGGAATATTTGCAATCTGTAATGGTTTAACGATAAGCATAAGTGCATAATATATTATACAAAAAGCTGAAGACATGAAGAGAGAAGTCACCCAKYAGTTATACTCAGATATAAATCATCTACATGATAAACTATATTGTTTATTACACATAAGTTTGTTTTTTAATTTAATTGTGCCTAGTCCCAACAGCAGCGCYTTTTAAGCCTTCTCACTGGATTACCAGAAATATTAAGTTAAGAAGATTCAATATTGTTATTATCTGTCTTTGTTTAATGCACATGTGACATAGGATTTTAGTTGTGTTCTTTGCCAAATGTACCAATTAATTTATTGTAGCAATAAGAATTCTAAAAAAAGGTTTGAATTTGTTGTCAAGACTACTTGAGATCGACTTTTCCACATTTTTAAAACTATCTTCCAAATTTCAAAAAATTTACGTTTTTAAATTTTTGGAGAAGTTAAAATCAAAACATCAAAAATGTGGAGTAGACTTGACAACAAATTCAAATCGGTTTTTTGGAATTCTTATTGCTTCACTACATCCAGCAGTACATTTGGCAAAGAACACGGCATGTGTTAGATAAAGACAGAAAATCACGGTATCGAATTCCATTAAGTGTAGAAATATGTAGATTTGAATAGTTTGCAAGATGGTAGCAGAAGCCACACTGCCAACGTGACCACATCCTGCTATAAGTAGGATGGAGGGCAACTATAGATATGGTGACCAGAAGTACTCTTTTTCGCAGGACAGTACTCTTTTTTTGATGTGTGTTCTAGTGTCCTAACAATAGTGTTAAGTACATGAAATTGTACTCTTTTTTAAAAAAAATATAAGCTAATACGTGTTTATGTGTTTTTACTGTTTTTTATATTTTGATTATTACCACCGCGACCGTTTAGATAGTTACAACAATGGGCATACCAAATAACTAACATAATTGAAGATAATCTTAGAAAATTTTACACTTGGTATTTTTACCTTTAAAAAATAATTTATACTTTAGTTTAGGTTGACACACACCAAATTAGTTGACATAATTTCAAATAATAAGTTTTAATTGTTGATTATAGGAAAAAAATAAGAGTAATCAGATAAAAAAACAAATTATATAAATGGAGATGACCTATGGCCGCTAACCGCTAATAGCTATGGTATGGGCGAAATGGGTAGAAAAGTACACACATTGGTTAATTATGAGTTATGAAAGAGGAAGACCTAAGTTTTAAAATGTACTTTTTTTTGGATTTTTATATCTGGTCACCTTAACTATAGCTAAAAGAATGTGGCCACTTCAGTGGCATATTTAAATGATAAAAAATGTAAAAAAAATGTACGGTTTAATTTATCAATTAATAAGAAATCTATTGATACCTATCTAACAAATTACAAAAAAAAATTGCCTAACCTATGTGGATATGAAAAAAATCATAGCATTCAAGACTTGTAGGTTTTAAACCGGGTTTAAAATATAAGTTACCTAATGAAGGTAACAGATGAGTAAACATTTTACGAGACATTTTATCAATGACATTGAAGTTGAATGTTTCCAAAGTCAATACTGTTAATCGATATGATAATTTTTAGTTACTACTTATTAGGTACTATTAGGTATCTACTATCTATTATATCTAACTSTCATTTTATTTTTATTTTAAATGCCAAAGGATAATCGTTATTGAAATTTAAACACTTTTTTATCATAGATATATCAAACAAAATAATTATATAGGTAATATAAATAAATAAAATTTTAAATGCATAAAATTGGATCACTTATAGCTAGGTAACCTATGTCAATTCTAAATGAGAAGTACCAAGTAATTTTAATTGAATGTTACAGATATAATATATGCTTTGATTAATAACAACTCAACAAGCACCCACATACAAATTAAAAGGTTGCAAACGTTATCTTTAAGAAAGTAATAATCAAGTATCTATATCATGAGTAGGAAGTTGAAAACTCGTCGGCATAACATGAGAGCTGTCGACCACTACTTAACATTTGAAAACATAATATTCGAGACAATAAATGTTGGATGCAAAGCTAAAAACATTCAGGGCAGGCAGGCAATATGAGCAAGTAGAAATTTATTAAAACCGCCCGACACAATATCATTATAGATTGTCGCTGCTCAACTGCGGCCTTTGTCGGAACGTCCAACACGGTAATTCGCCGACGTAGATTTTTTTGATACCATAACAGTGATGGGCGGTAACAAGCATCGTTAGACTTACCATGCAACCGAATCAGCGTAGAGATGACCCGTCAGATGACACGATCAAGTTGTCTATACTACGTTGTCTGTCTATCGCCACGCTACTACAACAGGTGCAGCAGCGATTGTGATGGTGGCGACGGCGCGAGCAGCTACGACATTTTCGGCGAAACGGTGCTGCGCGCGCGATCGAAGGTGGCCGTGCGTAGAGCTGCTCGTCTCGGTGTTCGGCGGACACGAGAGGCGACGTACCGGAATAATAATAATAATAGTTTTACGGGACCCAACACTAGGTACACCGTGCGCGAAACGTTATAAATGGTGGACACAAGAGGGAGCGTGTGTGTGGTGTCTGGTTGAAGACGAACGATTGTTGTTAATTAACATCACCACGAGACGATTTTATTATTGGTACGAGCACGTCGCCGGACGTCACACGGTATTAAAAACGAAATGGTCGAAAACCAAAACCCAATGCGCGATTGAAGATAACGTCTTGTGCGCGCGCGTGTGTGAGTGTACGTGTTTTTGTGTGTGTGTGTGCGCGCGCACGCGTGCGTGTGTATCTGTGTATGCGAGTGTGTGTGTTTAACAATATAATAGCGAATAATAATAATAATAATAATAATAATAATCATATATAATATAATAATAATAATAATATAATATCACTGTCGCGCGTGCGTGTGCGCGCATTTGCGTATAAGAGAGCGCACCGGTCGTGCGGTGAGTGTACGTGTGCGTGCGCACAGAGTATGTGCGTGTGCGTGTGCGCGCGTGACTGTACGATGGGGTGAGGGTGCGGAGAGGAGGCACAAAAATGTTTTTATATATATATGTGTATGTATGCGATAACCCGAAGGAAAATAAAATCCAACAACCTCTGCACGAGTAGTTGTAGGATCAACGAAAAAGGAAGTGCCCGCGATTAGTGGTAGTAGTTTCGCTGGTACAAACCACATGGGCGGTGGTAAATTTAATCGCCCCGACAGTGTGGCCGGTGTCGGTGGCGGGCGGACGACGCTCTGGCGCTATGCTACCACGGGCGCCCACGGTACAGCCAACCCTCGCAGGTCGCGCGGGGCTGTTTTTTCGGGCGGCCGATGACCGCCGTCGACGTCGCGGACACCCTGCGCCCATGTTGCTGTGCGTGAGTGCGTCCGTCCGCCCGTCCATCGTCGGCGGCGGTGGCGGCTGCTACACCTGTGCGTGTGGAGCCGTGGAGGTAAACGCGTGAGCCATTATCAGTTTATCACCGACGGCGAACCTTCGAACGTGATAAGAGAACGGCACGTCTGTTAATTTGCCAAGTTGTTATTGTTATCGTCGGCATGACGCCCATTCACGTTATCTGACGATAATAACAATAATACTCGTATTACCTATTGAAGTACTATGTTATAACCTAGGACTTGGGAGTAAGGAGTTCGATTATTCTCTGGTCGTCGTTAATAAATTATATTACACCTAGCAATAATTTTAGGGTCCGATCAAATAACGCTTTAATTCATCGAAGACTTTATGAATGTCAGTTTGTACTGCTACGGATACATGCAGTATTAAATTTTACTGTTGATAATTAAGGTAGATTCTATGAGTACCTAGCCTAAAAAATTGTTCACATTTGTGGTAATTAAATAGCAGCTCAGTTACACCACGAGTGGAATATTTTGGTGATTATAATATTACCAATTTAGTTAATTGACGGTGTTAGTTATGAAAGTCAGCATGTACTGCGACAGACACAGTTTTAAATGTTGCTGATGATTGTTAAAAAGCTATTATGAGTATTCTATATCAGTGGTTAACTAATAATTATTAATCAAGCACACAGATTGTGCGATGATGTAATGTATTATAGATTTTTAGAACAATTCATTGACAACAATGGTATTAGTCTAAATGTAATTTGTATTATAATAATATACAAGCATAATATGTTATGCTTATTTAGGTCTAACTACCAAGCACACAAATTGTATAACCAACATTATTATTATAATAAATTAATTAGCAAATTCAATGATATACAAAGCTATTTATATATATGTTATACATATTTAATGTAT